AAGTCCCACGTTTAAAAGAAAAAAAAGCGCCGATTCAAAGTTTCAGAAAAAAAAACGCGACGGTTACATTAAAAACTACGGTAATAACATGGTCAACTAAACGCTTCTCTAGCATCGAGGATATCCATGCTTACTTTAGAGAAACGTAAGAGTTCAACGCTCAATAAAAATATTTTTGAACTGTACTTTCAAGATAAGTTTTATTGTAATAATATTCTTATTCCATTTACGTATACATATGGCGGGAAATGTCTCAAGCTTTTGGGAAGATTGGTGTTACAGTGTTACAATGAACGCTATAAGATTTTAAAAACATTACGGCACCGACTTTGCAGATTATAACAGGAATAAACCTATCATTTTTTGCTACATCCAAATATACTGTTTGTTCCTATATCATAATAACTATGTGACAGTAGGCGTAATGGCTACAAACTTTTTTTTTTTTTAGAGAGAGAGGGAGAAAGAGATTGTGCACGTAACTCTTGCTTCTTTTTCATGTAGCTGGTCAAGGGGGAAACCCCCCTGAGTACTTATTACTTACTGACGGTGATAGTGCCTTCATCTCAAAGTCCCCTTTTTTTTTTTGGTAAATTAGAACGCCAAATTAGAAATTCATTTGTTGACACTGAAGCCCGATTAAACATAGTAGCGCCCTCTTCCACAAAATATCGATACAAAGAAGCACTTGAAACCATCAGGCATTGTCACGTTTCCTCAAAAATCTGTCACGCTCCATATGTGACTTTAGCGAATGTTTCGCTAGATTTTCTTTGTTTATTAATGTATCCGCCCGTTGGGGCAACGTAAGAAAGAAAGAGAGAGAGAGCGGGGTACGTAGAGAGTTGAAGAATGAGTACGGTTAATTCAAAGTCAAATTGGACGTTTGAGTGGTTTATACAGCGTGAGGTTGGTCTGCCAGTAGGGGCGACACTGGTTTACACTGTAGATGAGCAATTTAGCCAGTGCAGTACAACCGCTAGTCTGGGTTCTTTAACGTGCACCACGCAGTAGTGATACACGACCGCACGCCGGTACGATGCTCATCCAGATCGAAACGGGCAGGGGTGGGGCTCGAACCCAGGATCCCTGGGTTCTGCAGCGCGAGCTTTCGCTCCACGCGCGTCGAGCTGGGTGTGCGCTTCAGCCCACTCGGCCACCGATCCCCCCTACGGTTAATTCGAAGAAGCAAAAAGTGCTTATATAAATAATTCGATCTCAGGAGGTTGTTTCTGGTACCTTGGGCCTCTGCGTTGACGTACGCACTTCTCGTCTTTGTCTTTTCGACTTTGTTTCAGGAGATACATTTCCAGGGTATGTCTCTACGGAACATCACTCACACTCATCTTTCAAAGCGGCATTTCTATTACTGACGACGTTTTGAGACTTTTCGGGCCTTGCTTGACCGCACAGCTTTACACGACCTCCGAAGAATATTCTCGCACGCCGCACTGTGCGCGAAATATTCTTAAAATATTCCTAAAATATCAGGCGGCCCTGTTGTAATACATAACAGGGCCTCCGATTTCTCTTCGGACTCGGCTACAAACTCCGGAACGTCATCAAAGAGCCCGCCCAGTACTTTCACCACACGCTACTACTTGGTACCATACGGTCATCCGCGACTTCGTGGTTGTCTCCCCCCTATCCACGCAGTTCCCAAAGCCGCAGTAACGCAGCTCACAATCAGACAAAAGGCACGTGGTGTTCCCTCCGGACATGATGAGAGAACTGTCCGCGGGCGCACCTCGGGCATGCTTCAAGCATCTTTGCTTCCTACATCCTTCGAATATTTCTACAGACAGTTGTTGTATGACCAATGTGGCCGTCACATAATGAAGAAACTGGCCTTAGGCAGTGTCTGCAGGCTGTCTTTTGTAAGGTGTATTAGCAGTGGGGCCATGGCTTCCAGCCATGGCCCCACTGGTCAGACAGGAGGCTTATTGGGCTTCCACCCCGGGCCCTCCGTAATGTGGTCGACCATATATCGTAAGGGCGATGCCGTCAGCGGCAGAAAGGACAGGAGAGAACAAGATGATAGAACAGACTAAGGATTTATGAAGGCTGGGTCAGCACGTGAAATCTATGGCGAGGTGGTTGTGTGAGCCACTATTGCATGCGTTGCATGGCGCCAACCCTTCCCTCCACCCCCTTCCTCCTTTTTTTAATACGATAGAAATTTTTCAAAAAAATAAATATTATTAAAGCCTACCACCAAACTCCTAGATTATACCTCTTACGTCACGCCGTGGTGGTGGCGCTTCGGGGGCGCTTCAGGTCTGGGGGTAGGCAAAAACGCCTGGCGAGCCGGGCGGTGCTTGCTTTGGTAGAAACTAACCTGTATTCTCGTCGAAACATGGCATAGTTTTCTTAGACAGGAGCCTCACCGAAAAGGACTAGGAAAGTTGTCATGCTTAATTTTTACGTGTTTCCTGCCAAGTGTGAATAGTAGAGGTGATGAATAAAAAACACCAGACGTTGTTGCACCATCTATCGCCTGTGTATATGAAGTACTTTGGTACGGGTGAATTCACTCGGACATGTTGTCGCAGAATAGATATCTGTTTACGCGCCGTTGGCACGCTAATTTCAGGCCTTCAAAGACTTCTGAAATTCAAGGTTGTTTGGGGTGAACCGAACGACTCGGTGCAAACAATAAATGCAAGGTGATGTTGACCGTTGTAACCGCAGTAGCGATTGCCGAGTTGTAATGCCCGATTTACATGGTGCATTTATATTTGTGTATTTCAGAAGAAACGTCAAGCACCGCAGTTTCCGTACATGTTTCTTTTGCAGCACTAGGGACTTCCTAAGTGAACATTCCAAACAAAATTGCGCCGAGTGAATTAGAAAAAAAAAGCGTACATTCTGCGACATCCGCTCATAAATCGCAGTGTGTGAAATGATTCACGAGAGAACTTAGGGTATAAGGATCCTTGTCAATTTTCCTGTAGCCACTAAACTAGTCAAACACTACTAATAATATGTAAAATCAAGAAATACAACGCAAAAAACAGAATTGAGACTCACACGGACGCCGACAACACCGCATCCCAAACGTTTATTAATGGGGAACGCCGCCCCTCCTGGCAACACTTTATTGCACATACGTGACGCCTCATACGCGCTGGAATGCATGTACTCATGTTTGCAATGATGATTTTATGTATAGAGCCAAGAAACATTCCCCGAAATGATTCTTATACCTTTGTTCCGGCTCTATAAATTTGTCCGTGTTACATTAAGACTTTGGAAAGCTGCGCAGACCTTTCAGTGATTTATTGATCAAGGGAAAAGGTGACTAGACGTTTGGTTTGCCTAACGATCTTCTTGGAACGAAAACGCAAGAACAGCATTACGAGCGCCTCAGCCAGTTCGTGAAACGGCTGAAAGACAATGACATCGTCATCAATTTAGATAAATGTCAGTTTGGCGTTCAAGAATTGATTTGCTGTGGACATCATTTTGATGGCAACGAAATTCAACATCAACCTCATAACGCAGAAGCAATTCTTTGTCTTCCGAGGTCCTAAAACATAAAATAATTAGAAAGCTTCGTGAATTTCCTAAATCTTTTCATGTACAGTCTTTCTCGTGCGTTGCGCAGTGTTGTAGGCGTTACAAAAAAAAGTAACGAAATACGTTACTCGTTACTTGAAAATAAAAGGAGCACGTTACCAACCTACGTTACTTCGATATAAAAGGAACGCGTTAGCGTTAAAAAGTGACGTAAGTTACTTTTGTGTAACTTTTTTAATTATTAATTAACACGTTTTATTATCTTGACGTTGAGGTATCCAGAGACGCCATATTTCAAGAAACATATTATGTCCATCCAGAAACTGAACATAATTACTTTATCTAATTTACGGTTCCACCTAAGCACTGAAAAAAAAAACGCGAAAAGCGCAAAAACTTAGCAACTTATATAGCTTGGCGCCTAGAAGCACGAAAAAAAATTGAAGTGTAATTTTTTCAAGGTTTTGGGAAGAATATGTAACGTGTAACCTAAGTACGTTCCACGTTACTCAAAATAAGTAACGTAAGTGTGTTACCCGTTACCGTTTCGAAAATACAACGAGTTCGTTACTACGTTACCAGAAAAAGCAACGCCTTACCGGTAACGCCGTAACGCGTTCACGCCAACACTGGTTGCGCAACGACTATTCAACGTCTTACGGAGGTGCCGTCTCCTAAAAAAACACAAATACCTACAAAACATCCTACTAAACTGACCACATACTTCCCGCTTTCGGGAAAATTAAAGGGTAACCCCGCCTAAGTTCTGAGATTTTGTGGTTATGGCAGTTTTAAACAAAGTCGTCAGCATCTCTGAATGCCAACGTTCTGTCGCCACACAATCTCGAATGCTTTTTCCTCTCGCTCGTGTCTTCCAAGTTTCACTGTACATGCCTGCACATAGTTCTTTCTTCCCGTTACGTTTTTAACCTTCACCTTTTCCGCTTCCTTCCACTCAAGAAACGAACTTTTCATAGAGCCCCCCAATCACCAATGTAAGATCCCACTGGCGATTCTCCATTTCCTAATTTAACCGAGGTTGCACTTCTTTAGATTCCTCTGAAAATGTTCGGTTGTCACATACGCAGGTGCGAGTAGCTAAAGAGTTAGGTACACTACGCATGCCGTCCTCCTTCCTTCATCGCGTGCATGAGCGGGTCGCAGGATAGTGTCCTTATTGTAGCTGTCGCGGGATGGTTTCCTTAGTGTACATATCGCGGGATATTGTCTTTATTGTAGATAGCCCTTATTGAACGAGATAAGCACTTACTGTGCAGTGGGTCAAGAGGCCTTTCCATCGCAGGGCGTGCAAGGAACGTCACGTCATTGAAGAACACCTAACATGAAGTCACAACCTCCAGGCTTGTACGGTGGTAAAATGTACAAATAGGCTCTTTATTTGCTTTACAGAAATCATCTTCAGCATCGAGGGAAGCCCGAGACAATCCGACTCCCGTTCGATCCAATCATCAGTCCTGGGCTCAACCGTAGTATCCGTGTCCTCCGTAGCCGTAGCCGCCCAGGCCGTAGCCTCCGTATCCTCCGTAACCGTGGTTGATGTGCGTGTGGTAGGCGAAGGCGCGGCCGACCGGGTGGCCGTAGCCGCCGTAACCACCGTAGCCGCCATAGCCGCCGTATCCTCCATAGCCACCGTAGCCACCGTATCCTCCATATCCTCCGTAGCCACCGTAGCCCCCGAAGTATCCGGCCATAGCAGTGGCCAGAAGGGCGAAGAAGATAACGGCGACCTGGAAAAAGAACGCATCTTATAACATTTTATTTTTTTTGTCAGTTACGCTTCTTGTAATACAGTTCTTAAAACATGGGTATTTTATCGGACTCCGTTTATCGTAATACATTTATACGTATTTCAAATCATTCTTTCAATTTCTTTCCCACTTAAAACAGTAATACTTTCATGCAGCACTGAGACGCACGTTGACGGCACAACAGCACTACATTCGCAAACAAAAACAATAACTAAAATGAAGCGATCGCAACCGTCAAGAAACTTGTCTAGCGGTTTATGTTATTGTACAGAATTCTAGTAAATAGAAGCATGTTTAGCAAGAATAAAATACAGTATAAACTAGGAACTGAAAAGACAACAACTATATATGTGAAGTGCAGCGAACCTGTTGCAGTAACACCGCGTTGCAATAGTATTATAAAGACTAATATGATACTGCCCGTTCTACTCGAAACATTAATCTCTCTACGAGTTTCTCTGGCCACCATAATTAACCCCGATGACTAACGAGGTAGCGTATGTTCCATTGTGACTTGTCTTAGACACGCAGATCAATAAGAAGAGGAAAAAAACACATCATCTCCGTATAAGAAGCAAAGACACTGCCGAGTGACTGGGTATCCTTAGCGCCCCAACGCTGCTGCCGCCGGCACTGCCGCCACACGTAGTCCACAGAGTAGCCGCTGAAAGCACGAAAGTTTGCCTTACCGTGGACTTCATGATAGTGCTTGTTGCTGCTCGGTTGCTGGAGGACTGACTGTGCCTGTCCCGAGTCCGCAGTGCCCTTTTATAGCTGGGCCTAGGCGGAGCCCCGTGACGTGGTCGTTCAAGGAGGTCAGTCCTGTTCCGACTTGGAGCAATTCCCGGCGGCAAATCTCGTGTGTCTTTCAATACAAGACCTGGACGCCGTCTCCGGACACAGTAGGTGGCCCCGTGCGCATTAACCGGCGAAAAAGGGGAGGCATTAGACAGATCGCACAACAGTGACCCGGTCCGTGGCGTGTGGCTCTTGACTTCGCGGTTCGGGGATTGCCATAAAGCGGGGATAACCTTATCCCCCATAATTTGGGCACACACGCTCGCGTTTTTAGCTTTCTTTTCGCTGGTTTCGTTGGTCTTTTTTCCCCTCCAGATTCCTGCTGACTGGAGCGTGAAGGTTGCCGCGGCCTTTTCTTTCGGCCACTTCGATTGTTGGGCGCAAGAAAGGAACTCACTCCTCAATCAGGACTGGTCGACACCGAGCGGTTTCGCTCAGCCGGCAACGAGAGACCGGTTTGATGTGAAAGCGGCGCGAATTTTACCACTGTATCCGGCCGCGCCACCCACCCTGGCCCCGTCTCCTACGATCGGAAAAAAGAAAAAGAAACGGAGGAGAGAAAAAAAAATACCGAACTGCGCAGAGTTCGTTGTTTTTTTGGCAACGTTGTCGAGCCTTAGTTTTCTGTCGTGTCGGGTCAGACGACTTTTCTTCTGCGGTATCGCGTGCCGAGAGCGTGTGAGGTGATTGAGTCAGCGTTTACAGACCTCGTGGCTGAATCCTGCAGCTTTCATTATTTTACCGGGTGGGTTATTGACCAAGATCATTTCTTTCCGTTTTATGTGGGACTCAGTTCTGGTATTAATACTTGTCCCAAAGGCAGATGTTGCGGCCATATAACGATCCGTTCGCCCAACAGTTTGGGCTCCCAGCGTGAGGCGGAAATCGAGGCATCACTTTCGAGGACGCGAGTAAACGTACCAGTCGGAGACGCACTCCACGCATCGCCTCGCAGTACGGCCATAGGTGTCACGCTCCACTGGGCAAGCCCATGAAGAAGAAGCGAGCGCCCGTGTCCAGTACGGTCGTGGCCCACTAGAGAGGTGGAAACGCTGGATAAATTTGCTCTCCGCGTTTTCAATGTGGTACCCTCCTTTTTGAATTACGCATGGACCGCAGACCACGATCGCTCGCCTTTTTGCGTGCCGCGGCTCTCTTGAACCGAAATCAGGGATAAATAATACCCCTTAATGTTGCAAATTTCAGGTTTGCAGTCGTACGGCATTGGCTAAGTTGGCCATCGGAGACACGCACTACACGCAGTTCCAAAGGCCAACTCCCCCCCCCCCCCCCCTTTTTTTTTCCCCTGATTAAACCTCCATAGGAGGACGTCTGACTTATGTGTTCCTCGAAGAACTACAAGGTCTTAGGTCAGATTGCCTTTCCAGAGCTAGCCGACAATTTTACTCACCAATCGCAAAATCGGAAGTGTAAGTGTAAGCAATTGTAACAATGCAAATTAATTTTTTTTTTTTAATGAAATATGCGTTGGAACGAAATTCCAGTTTATAATCTTCAAGAAGAGTGACCGAAAGTGATGAATAAAGTGTATGTTCGTGACAAAGAGAAGAGTTATTTCTGACCCCAAGCATAAGAGGAACTTTTGATAGTGACAGTTCAAGGAAGGTAGCACGTAGCCATGGCGAGATCTGGGGATTTCTCTATCGCTCCACAGCTTCCCCAGATTGCGGCATCCGCTGGTAAAGACGCCGAAGAAGAAATCGCCCAGGGAGTCTGAAGATAGAAAGCAACGCCCGGCGTTTTTGAAGCTGGCGGTGACTCATGCCAACACCATATCTAGGACATTTCTTTAGATTTTTGCTCGGCAATTCCAAAGAATCAATGGAGAAGACTATATCCAGCAAAAGAACGCGTACCGACGACAACGTAAATGAAACGTACAAATAACTTTTTGCGCCGTCATCTTCCGCTGCCTTACGTTGCAGAACCATTCTACTGCGATAACGTGCCGCTACGAAGTTCGTTTAAAGAAAATGCGTAAGGAGTTCTTTTTTTTTTTTATTATTTCAACGACTACGATGAATAACTAAATGTCCGAGATTAACTACTACGGAGCTCCATGCGTCGCAAGCCTGTCAAAGTCGCGCCATCTAAAGAAAAAAAGGAAAAGAAAACAATTGGGGGGGGGGGGAGATTGGGGGGGAGAGCTCTTCACACTTTTTGTGCTGCTACCATGTACTACCATTATGCATATACAGTATGTTTTCTTTTATGTAAATCATAAATGACCTAGCGCAAGCTAGGAGCTCAATCAGCACAGAAGAGCTGATTTCCATCGTGCGCAGGGTTTAACAGTTTTATTGACGCCTTTCATTTTACAACTCCAGGGAAGAGTGAAGCATCAAAATCTTCAGTTTATATTGGGGCCTCACATAAACAAGCTTCGTTATATGTGTATTCTTTGTACCGCGCCGGCTAATTGGTATATATACAGCGTGAACCATTGTCGCCAGGGCTTAAAGTCTGGGGTGTCTGAGGGGGTCTCGGACCCCCCACTGATTTTAAAGGATGGTCTGAGACCCTCCTCCACAGCCCCAGCATTAGTGAAGGCAAAAGCATATCTCGCAATAAAATAGCTTGTTTTCAGGGATGGTGACAGTTGGGGATTCGCAATTTGAGGATTGCAGGTACAGCGTGGGTAGAGTCAGCAGTGGGGTTTATTTCATGTGCATCTAGTACATCTCGTCAGAACACCCTTCCCCCCTACCTGCTTGTAGGCACCCCCCTAGACTTACGGGAGGCTTTAAGCACTGATTGTCGCCATACCACATCGCAGACCCACCTCACGCTGTCTAAACACTCAACGTCTAATTGACTTTTCAAATCCTACCAAGTTGTTAAAAAACAAATAACGAAGATCTTTTTCTTTTTTTTTTTTTTTTTGGTCACTGACAGCTGAAGAAAGGCCGGGTGTGGCGACCCCAGATCCTCTCGTGTCGACTCCGCAGGCAATGTGATTGCGACATTATAGCCAGTATCGACCAACACACTGTTTACAAGCAAGACTGCGTTTGCCCACCGCGCGGGCGCAGAGGCCAGATTCACCGCGAGGCGAACCATCTGCGCATGCCCACTACCGACAGCAGCGCCACCGCAGTGGCGTGAGGTCAGAGTGTTGAGTTCGTCTATAAGGACCCAGAGGAACGAATGACGGAGCAAGAAGCATCTCGTAGCAAGTCAATGGAAATTATTTTTCTACGGTTACAAGGTTTAAGAGCAGGGCATTTTTCTTGGTACTTCTCGATCGGACACTTCTTAACGAGCCGACCGATTTTCGCAATTTTTGTTCAATTTAAGCAAACAAAACTTGAATTATTTAAATTGCAATTTTGAGTAGGATTCAACATTTACTAAAAACAAAAGCTTTAAGAGTTCAAAAAAAATCTATTCCGCCCCCTCTCCCTAAAAAAGCGAACCACTTGACTGCAAAATTCTCTTTTTAATGACAAGACCAAAGCAGCTGGAAGACTGGATTAATCCCAAGGAACAGGCACACCACAGGAAGCAAATCCCGAATTCCCCGCTACGCTATATCAGGGACCCGGGGGTCCAATATTTGATATAGCAAGGGTGGCCAGGCTGGCCTGGCCTAAGAGCCGCAAACAAAACTACGGAACTTTTAAGAACCGCAGGGAAGGGGGGGGGGGGGGGGGGGGGGGGGCGGGGGCAAACTTAACTTTTGTTCATAGTCTAACTGTACGTATGAGGGCACAAGGCTGTACGACTGTACGTATGGGTGTACAAGGCTGTCAAACTGCAAGCTGCAGTGTGCTTTATTCTGAAATCCTTTCTTTTTGTTTTTTCCTTGGGAAACGCGGAAAGGGGCGAAAGGGGGGGGGGGGGGGGGTGTTCCTCTTACGAGGGATCCGCGAGCCGCACTTCGACCTGCAAAGAGCCGCATGCGGCTCGCGAGCCGCGGTTTGGCCACCCATGTGATATAGTAACGACGTCAAATTCATTACCCGCGGATCATTCCCGGATATCTGCAGTCAACCGGCGGATGCGGATAAAAATGAACCAGATTTGGAGAATTGCGGCGTAGATGCGGATTCCAGAGGCTGCGTACGAGGCTCAGATGAGGCCATCCGGAGGTTCGGATCTACACTTTTACCGGGGCGGCCTATAGGGAGTATTCACTGGCAGCCATAGCTGTGTGCGCGAATGCTGAGCGCGTGCTGACGGCGAGCTTCCACAGTTCTTTTGCAACGTGCATTCCGCGCCATCAGGAGTGCCGGTCTTAGCAGCCTATTGATGTGAGCTCGTTCTGAGCATGCGCTCTAAACAGCAGACCCAAATAGGGCGTCCAGTGAATACTCCCTATAAACGTGTGCGACCGCAGAGTGCAGAAATCCGTCTCCCCTTAGCATGGACTATGGTTAGCCGCGCATGCTAAAAGCGCGAGATAGTTGCTTTGGATGAAGCCTCGTCGGCTGCACGAGCGCTCGTGCAGCGAGTGCTCCAGTCAAAAAGGCAGTCAAGGCTAGCCGCTCGCGCTTGCACAGTCTTTGTGGTTGGTTCATGCTAAGGTGAGACAATGTTTTGCGGTAGCAAAGTACTCTCTTAGGGTAAAGCGGCCAATCCGGCAAACACTTCCTCATGCGCCATGAAAGCCCTGGTATTCACCAAAGATCACTATCTCACCAAAAATGCGGTCTCTAGAAAAGTAAAGATTGCAAGGACATCAACCGTCCCGGAAGGCGTGTTCTTGTTAGGCAGAAAAGAAAAAAAAAAACGAAACGAGATTTTCGGCAAAAAAAAAAAAAAAGAAAAAAAGAACCCAGGACGCTCAAGCTACGAGTAAAACGTAAAACCCGTAATCGCTTTTTTTTTTTTTTTTTTTTTTTGCAGTTGGCAAAGCATGTGGTTTGGAGCACGCAGATGCGGGTTCGTGCTTAAAATTGGAACCAT